TGGATAGCTTTCGAAAACATGTTAATCCCCCCCCCCCCCCATGCTCGACGATGCCTGCCGCGCCGCCCCCCGTCAAAACCAAACCAGGGGTGTTTTTTGTGTACGACGTATCGCCGTTCATGGTTGAGGTCGTTCCAGCGGAGCAGCCGCCGTTCTCGCATCTTTTGATCCGACTTTGCGCAGTTGCCGGGGGAGCATTCGCCATCTCAGGAATTGTGGATTCGGCCGTGTTCTACCTATCCAACCGGTTGCGTCGGCACGGTGTTCTCGGGAAATAGAAGTGAAAGTGACCTTGAAGCGCGACCACGCACCACCGGTGGCGTGTGTGCATTGCGTTGGTTGTCGATCGGCAGTCTGGAGGGTACAATGTGGCCGTCACAACAAGTGTTCGTGGGGCTGACATGTGTGTACCGATGTACGCGGGAACGCGATGATTTCCTTTCTGTCGTGCTTTGTGTCTGAAGTCTTCGCAGAAGCAATCTGGCGGGGTACATCTGTATGAGAATACCGGAGAGCAAATAGGAGGGCCGCAGCCCACTACCTTCTTTCAGGGCATTCAAAACCAGCAGTCAGACTGCTTGTTCGGAGCGCTGTGTGTCTCATGTTCCCTGGAAGGGAAAGAGACTTGAGGAATCCTTCGTGTAAATTTGAGACGTAAACTGCTGCAGTTCGTTGAGTGGAAATCGGGCGGATTTGAATCCGCCTGCCTGATGTGGTAGCCCCCGGCTCCTCTAGAACCCGCCCCTGCCCTCTCATTTTTCACTGCCGTGGATCTACGGGAGGTCTGTGGGGAAATGCTCTTTGGGACATTGCAAGACTGGAAAGCGGAATTTTGTAGATATCGTAGACCCACTCTCGTGTCGTGTCGAAGTAAGAACCGGGTGTTTAAACTACTGCACTGTAGCCATGAACACTTGGCCGTTGTCAGAAAGCCACATCAAACACCGAGAACCCGTCAGGGCTTCAAAGCCTGATTGTTGGCACAGAAGTTGGGCCAGCAGGGGAAACGGAGACGGCATTTGGAAGGAGTTTGCGGGTTGTAATCCCCAAGTCAGCAGGACACGCGCCAAACATCAGCAAACAAACCCTACCCTCGCAGAATGTGGCCGGGTTTGGGAAGTTGCGGCCTCTTGGTGGTGTCTCAGCTACCTCCTGGGTAGCACACATATGGTACGCGGCTGGCGTGCCTTGATTTTCATGTTTCAAGGTGTGAAGCGTGACAAGGAGCCCTTGCGGGGGGATTTTTCACAGTACATGTAGTCCAGCTTCGAGTGTGCCGGCACACCTGGCTTACAAGGTGCCAACTCTTTGTTGTCGCCGAGGATTTTGAAGTTGCCCCGCCATCCTTGGATGGGACCCTTGCTTCAGTCCACCCCACTCGTAACATCTCTCCATGAAACATGAACGACAACATTGTGTAGACGTTATTTGTAGGCACAAGTAAGAACAAACTGGGAAGAGCCTCCAGCAGTCTTGCCGGTCGATGGGTGAAAGTCGCTTCCCTCCTAAGACACAAGATACAAAATGATGATTCATGGATCAACGACAAGCACGCACGGCTTTTGTCGATACATTCATGAGAAAAAAAATAATTCACTTTGATTGCAGTAGATGTACTGATGGTGCCGCAGATACGGGGGGTGGCTTCCTGCCAGCGGCCGTTTAGCAAAAGGCCATTCTAAATGCGGAGAATATAAAGAAACACAGCTCATAGATTGTAACGTCGAAACATTAAAAAGCACATACGAACACACATCGTTTCATCGCTCGAACACACCCACGACTAATTGTCATTTCCACCGACAGCACCTCCATCCAACACCCCCGACCCTTCCTAGCCTAGACTCTTTTACTATTGAAGATCAACAAAGGCGCCATGCTCGTCGATCCCAGTTCTAGGCTCACCCATAGCGCCCACCCGCCACCTGTCGCCTGCAGCCCCGCCCCCCTCCCCTCGTACTCCATTTCATTCGCCCTGGAGTGCGAGCCACTTGAATTCAAAACAATCGAACCCTCCACACCGAATGCACACAACTTCCACTATTCTCATGTAAAAAAAATGCCCATCCACAGCAAGTAGACCCCAAGCACAACGTGATGCGACGGGGGAATGGTTAGCTATCTATGTACGAGAAGAGGGTTCCAAGACAGCCCCGCAGGACCCCCCCCCCCCCCCCCCCCCCCCCCCCCCCCCCCCCCCCCCCCCCCCCC